TTCTGGTTTCCATTTTACAGTGATTTCAAAATCACATCCTGGGTTTGCTTTTTATAAACATCTATGGGCATTCTTACCTGTGATAGCTTCAATATTTGTGTCAAAATGTTATATAATGTTACTTTATGGAAACAACATAATGTTACATTTTAGCTTCTTTCTTCCTCAAATTGTTACTGAATCATTCTTCCAGCACAATTTACTGCACAATGTATCCCTGACTCTTTGACTTGAACTCATACCTTTGAGTTGTAGTCAATCCAAGATAGAGCATGTTTCTGGTTTCCTTGTGTTTCATTACCTTCCTTAGCTGTCTGTCCAGTGTTGGAGTGGTGTGCCACCATGCCCCACAGACTCAGGTCTTCCTATTTGCACAGCAAATGTTTCACTCATTGATCCATGTCTCTAGACCTGTACTATATTATTATTTTATAAGAACTTTTCCAAGAAAACCTTAAAAATATTTTGTTATGTTTATCCTTTGAAGTGAAAAAAAAATCACAAATAATCCAATTCACTTGAACTTTAAAAAGACATTTTGGAAGAATCATCATATTTATAATGTTAAGTTTTTGGACTGTATTTTTTTTGTTCAAATGTTTTTTTAATGTTTTTTTTTGTAAAGTTTGTTGTTTTAAAAATGTGTTATCTTATTTTGTTGTTGTTTATTACTGATTTTTTCACTTATATTTGCAATTATGAAAGGAATCATTATTCTTATGATTAGAGTTCATTGTTAGAAGAAGCACTGACTTTTTAAAATCATGTACAACTTATATGAACTCTTACATTTATGCTATTTGTCACGGTTATCCAGTTGATTCTTTTAAGTTTTTAGGAAGAAAAGAGTATCAACATTTCCCCGTGTGTGTGAAGAAATTGGCTGTCTTGTTCTGATTGTCATAGATCTAGTGTTTCACATTAAGCCTGACATTGGCAGTTGCTTTCCAGAGAGACAATCAAATTTGTCTGAGTGTAAGACACTGAGATTCTGTGCTACTGCTTTCTTCAGCAGAGTTCTTCTGACAACATGTGTTTAGATTTGCAATATGTTTTAGCATTTGTCCCCACTCTACTAACAAGCCCATAAACCTTGGTGTTCCTTTCAGAATTTTCCAATAAGTCATCAGATTTCAAGTCACCCATCTATCATTTTTTTAGTCTCATTTCACATGTGCTTGAGTCTGCTGCATGGAGATTTTATTTTAGATTCATATTAATCTTCTGCTGCTGTCTGCAAGTTGATCTTAAGCAGAGTATTAAAGGAGACAGGGAATGTTTTGAAAGGCTAACACTGCTAGTATATACAGAACACCAGTCATTACCACCAATGATACACTCTCTTGAAATAAATTTATAATTGATACTCTCTGGTAAGTCCTCAGAAAACAAGTTCCTTTGAAGTACAGGACACTTCACAGACAGTGCACATCAGAGTGAAGCATGATGGCAGTCTGGTTTCTAAGGGGACTTTAAGACTCGCACTTCAGTCAACTAAGAAACATGTCAAGAGACATGTCAAGAGATTCTTAGTGGTTCCAGGTCTTTATGTTTCATTTTGCTTCTTAGTTTCCTAGTGTTCTCATTAGTTCATTGTGTTTATTCTACCCTGAGGCTTCAGGTTTTACCTTCTCCTAAAGGAAGCCTCTCATAGGGGCCCACATTCTAAACAACTGTAGATCAGCACCATGCGTGTGAAGGGACTTTGTCTGTACACTGGAACTGACTTTGACTAGACTGATACAACATACACATTATCAGTTTTAAAGATCATGTGTTTTAAGAATTATAATAGATAAAACACAATCTTTATGCTGTAGTTGGAGCAACAAATGACTTTCTTTGTTGTTGTTGTTGTTGTTTTTTTTTACTTAAATCACTTTTTCCGTTAATTTATTTATTTGTTCATTTTACATCCCAATTACAACCCCACTCCCTCCTCTCTTCCCAGTCCCACCATCCCACCCTTTTCCCCCATACTCCCTTGCCCCACTTCCTCTCCTACTCCCCACCCCCAAGGAGTACCAACCCACCCTGGCACAAATGTGTCATTTGGAATAAATACCCCCTTTTTTCACTAAGGCAAGACAAGGCACCTCTGCTAGGGAAACATGATACAGAGGGAGGCTACCGAGTCCAAGTCAGAGACAGTCACTGCTCCAGATGTTAGGGGACCCACTTGAGGATCATGCAGCCCATCAGCGTCATGTGTGTAGAATGCCTAAGGACCAGTCCATGCCTGTTCTTTGGTAGGTGGTTCAGTCTCTATGAGCCCCCATGGGCTCATAGTTGGCTCTGTAGGTCTTCTTGTGGTGTCCTTGACCCCTTCAGCTTCCTCAATCTTTCCCCTAACTTTTCCACAGGCCTCCCCGATTTCCACCTAATGTTTGGCTGAGGGACACTCCATCTGTTCCCATTATCTGCTGGACGAAGTCTCTAAGATGACATATTTACTTGGCTCCTGTCTCCAAGTAGCAGAGCAGCATTAATGATGTCAGGGGTTGAGTCTCTCCCATGAGGTGGGTCTCAAGTTGTGTCTTTAGTTCCAATATGAGCTCTGGTTTTTCAGCAATTCTGTCATATTTCATATAAACCACGAAGCTCAGGAAAGGTTTACTAAAACCTTCATCATTATTATCACCATATTGAAATAGAACAAAGAGCGTTTGGCTAAACAATAAATAAAAGAGAAACTTATGAAGCTTTAGTGTTACATTTTGGTTGCTATATTTTTACATTATGAAAATTGTATTTTTATATTTTTACATTATAAAATGTAAAATATAAATATATTTTTACATTATATTTTTAAAATTATTTTTACATTATGAAAAAACTTAAATTTATGTTTAAATATGTTTTCACACTCACAACTAATAATAGGGGGATCAGGGAAGTATGCAAAATGGATGAAAATAGAGGGATGTTTATAGTTTAATGATAAAAGTGGAACTGAACGGTAGAAGATCTGGAGGCAGAACCATACGTTTGGCTTTGTTTACCCTTGTGGCATTTTTCTGTCTGTGGCATCTAGTATTGTCCTCTGACCTTGTGGTTTCCAAGGTTCCTATGTTGTTAGATCAGAGTGCTATAATGTTATTTCCATGTCTCTGGCCATTAAAATTATGACCATGGATCTATTTTATGAGGATCTGTGTTTTGATTGGTTGAAAGCAGATGCTGTGTGACTCACTGTTCCTTCCTTTGCTTCTCAGGAGCCTCTTTGTCCTTGTCTTTCTTGTTAGTTGGCTTCATTAGAGATTTCAAGTTTTCTTTGGGGGAAAAAAACCTAAGTAACTCACCTCAGCACCCCTCACCTTTTTTTTTTTTTTTTTTTTTTTAAACAATGTGCTACAGGTTGCCACCCTGACAAAGACTATCTCTCTGAAGGATCCCCTTTCCTCATGCTACCTTAGCAGACAGTAAACCAGAGGACCCATGTCTTGGCAGGGTGAGCTTGTCTTTGAAGAGGCTGGAGGCAATGCTCTCTTGTCTCTGGAACAGATGTTTGGGGCTGCTTACAGTCTGGAAACTCGTCCGACTTCCAGGATGCCCTGCTGAGTGAATGCTACCTTTGGCAGCACATTTTGCTTCTATTAACTAATCCAGTGGGTCCGGGAGACATCCAGAGAATAAGAGAGATCTGAGAACGCTGTCCTCAGCATCATTCACACGTGGTCAACTTCACCAGAGACTACTTCATGGCGTTCTGACTGGAGTCCCAGCTATCTCGACTTCTGAGCATAGTGTTGCTGAGCAGAGACGGGCATATTTATCTCTGCGTGGTTATTGATTGGTATAACTTATCTTAAACGAAAGGTCAGCTCAGGCCATTTATCTCTTACACATCCCCTCCCCGCCCCCAGCAGTGGTGTCCAATAGATTTGCTCATATATGTGTTGATGCTAGCGGCTGTCTTAGAAAGGAATCCCACTCCTGCTTAAGGAGCTGTGTGAGAATAAGCAGGATAAGTAGAAAGAGGTCAGTTGTCTGTCCCTAGGTGCAGGTCGTTAATCTGAAAAGCCCCAGGCAGCTGATTATCCAGGGTTACAGAGATCTGTTTGCTAGTTGTGTGTCCTGCCCCACCCCATTCCTCCCACGTTTTCGCCTCTTGTCTTCTTGCTTCTCTCCTACTCTGTCCCTTTCTCTCTCCTTCCACGAATTTTCTCTCCCAGTCTGTGTAAGCCTATACCTTTACAAAGTGAATTTATAGTGTCAGAATTAACCTGACCCTCTTTCTCCAGCTGTAACATCACTCCAACAGGCGTTCTCCATGAGTTTTGGGCGATTTATTCTGGAGTAAGGCAACTTGCTAACTCAGCCTCCTCTCTCTCTCTCTCTCTCTCTCTCTCTCTCTCTCTCTCTCTCTCTCTCTCTCCCTCTCCCTCTTTCCCTCCTTCCCTCCCTCCCTTTCTCCGTCTCTTGCCTCCTCCCCTTTCCCTCCCTTCCCTCCCCTTAATCCCCTCCCCTTTCTGCAAACCCACGCTCAGCGAGCCTCTCCCTAGACAGACAGAGGGACAAGCGCCGTCCGGGCCGGGCGGAGGAGTTCAATGTCACGCTGGGCCGAGGCGGCCCGGGAGAGCGGCGGGGCGCGC